GGGTAGGGGGTGGTTGGGTTGGGGGTAGGGGGTGGGTAGGTGGGGTTGGTGGTAGGGGATTGGGAGTGATAGGGGTTGGGGAAGAGACCCAAAGTATTGTTAGTCACTGGGGGACAATGTTAGTCATTAGACAAAAAAGTCAGGGGAGAATAATGTGTCAGGGCCAAGAAAGCTTATTTCATGAAGGAAGGTGTAATCACCTAGTCAACAGTGTTGGGTGGGTAGTCATGGAAAAGCTGATTTGTGATTACTTCCCACCTTTTCAGACTTAAAAGTTTTACAGTGACTCCTACAAGTATCCATAACCTTTGGGCATCTTAGAACGTCTGCTGTAATCTGAATGTAGCACAGGGATTTATTGTACTTTGAGAATGTAGTATTCCCCTTAGAAATCTGTTACATTTAAATGTTTACTTTTTTATTGGTTATATATATTTGAGTAGATACAGAATAATAAAAATTATCAATAATTGGTCTGTTTAAGTATGATTTCCAATACCAGGTAGTTGGCTTTTATTTTTATGTATAATTGTATACCTTGTTTTCTGTTGATTCAATGAAATACCTAAGGTAGGGGCTTCATAGAAGGTTAGGCCTGGGGACATAGGTTAGTGTAGAACACTTGCTTGACTGTGTGAGGGCCTAACATATGTGAGGAGAAAAGATACGTATTTAGCTCAAATTTTGGAGACTAAAAGTGGAAGATTGGACAGCTCCACCACCTATTGGTATGGGATGTGGTAACAGCTCAAGACCAGCATCAACCCCTTGTGATAGCAGTGCCCAGTTAGCTAATTGTTCCTCATTGGGCCCCATAGGAATGTTTGGGAGACAGATCACATCCAAACCATAGCAATTATAGTACTTTATGACATAGGAAAAATTAGTAGGAAGAAAGTTTTAATATAAACTGCTTAATGGATAAACTATTGCTCTTGCACATGTACGCTGGGTTTAATTAGAATCTATTCATGTTTTAGAATTTTTCCAAGAATATTTTTGCAATTCTTCAGTCTGTAAAAGCCAGAGAAGAAGGGCGTGCCCCTGAACAGCGGCCTGCTCCAAATACAGCTCCTGTGGTAAGAATCTTTTCTGCTTTTGTTATTTTAAGAAAGTGATGTTTATTTTGCATTTTAGTTATAAATGTTATAATTTTGACATCTTAAACATTTTATATCAGGAGGGTATAAAGTTCTGCTACTTCAGCATACTCAAAGGATATAAAGACCCTCCCCTGTTTTAAAAGTTATCTTAGCAGTAATTTTGGGCCATTCTTAAGATAGACCTGGGTGAGAGTCTGAAAAGGAGTTAATTAGGAAAAGCCTTCGAAGTTAACTTTTAGGTTGACTATAGCTGGCCTATTTATTGCTTGGGAAAATTGTTAACTATAGTTAAAAATATAAATCATTGTTACTTTCCAGCTTGGACTTGTTATTTGAAATCTTCCTTGACCATTTCACATGGGTATATTGATTTTCCCTGTCACCCGTCAAACGGCCCATTCTTTGTACCTCAGCTGTACCTCCTGTGTTGGTTGACTGCCTCACTGTCGGAGGTATTGTTTAGGGTCCGCCAAACCCTAAACTCATGCATGCCATATAGTCTCCATTTAAATTCAGAAATACCTCTACTTTGTTGTAAACCCTTCTATCTGTTGTCAGATTCAAGAAGGCAAAGAATATAATTCAGATTGATTCACTTTTATGTCGAATTTGGAAAACATTGGTAGATTACTAAACATAGCCTTGGAAGTTAATAGTAATTTTATTTTGCATGAAATCATTGATATTTAAATTTTTGTAGATACCGAATTCTTGGTAAGATTTAGACAGATACTTTTAGTTGGCTTACCACACATATTTAAGTAGTGTCTATTTTTCATGCAGTGTTCTAAGCATCTAGAGATAAACTCATAGTCCTTGTCCTGTTTTGAGTTCATAGCGTAGTAAGTTAAACCTACTAGATCTATGAAATGGAAATATAGTAAGTGCTATGATGTTCAAGCATAGTGTGCTTATCATTACAAATTTGTTGACATTTGTCAATAGTAATTGGTGGGAAGAATGTGAAACTGTAAAACCATTTAAACTATTGTCTTTGTGAATGTGAGTTTTCTTTCTGTGTATTTTACAATCATTGAAACAGTTGAAATTTTTATGTTTGGCATATAGATGTATATATGTAGCTATAGTCTTTGATAATTTTTCTTTTGTAATATTAGACTATAATCCTATTGTAACAAAATGAAGACTATATAAATATTATGATTTTCCCAAGTACCTTTAAGATGCTTTTTAAATACCTATTTTTAGGTTATTATAGACTATGAGTTTAGTATGAAATATTTGAATTAAATTATACATAATTAGAAAGTGACTTTTTTCAAGTTTTTAAAAAACTGGCATCTATTACTTTAGTCTTACAGTATACATTTGTAAGTGTTTATTGAATGTCTATTACTTTAGTCTTTTTTTTTTTTCATTTTAGTTTTTTGAGACAGGGTTTCTCTGTCATCCTGGCTGTCCTGGAACTTACTCTGTTCAGATTATCATTGGAGAGAGTATTATTTCACAAAGTCATTTAAGTAATTAGAGTGTATGTGCTTACCATATTATTTCTGTGGTTTTGGATACAAGTATACTTGAAATTGTCCTTATTCTTGCTGTAGGGATGGACATTTTTTTAGTGCAAATATTGAATCCTAGTTGTCAAATGCCAAGTAGTCTTCTTAACGTGTTCTGTCTTCTGGCCCATATTGGAATAACATTTATAAGTGTCTGTGTCAGGTTTTTATGAGTGTTAAATAAGTAATATTTAAAAATATTGACTTGCATCTCTCTCTTTTTTTTAAAGGATCCCACATTGCGTACGAAGCAACCTATCCCAGCTGCCTACAACAGATATGACCAGGAAAGATTCAAAGGCAAAGAAGGTAAGTTACTTATTTTGTATCTTCTTCTCATAATGGTCATGCTGAACTGGAGTGGCAGTATAGTTTGATATTGAAGAATAAGGCAGTTGATCTAGTTCAGTCACCTACTTTTGTAATAAAAGTTTTTGTTGTTATTTACAGCTACATTTACTCATTTATGTGTGATCTATAGTTGTTTAACTCTGACAGCTCTGTTGAGTAGTTGTGAGAGAGGTCGTATAGCCTGCAACACTAAAAAATAGTATTTGGACTCTACAGAACAAAATTGGCTAATTTTGTTGGTAGCTTTGATTCGCAATCCAGATAGCTTGTGTTTCAGTTATTTTTTTATGTGGATTTTATTGCTTTTTCAACTGTATTCTGTCTGTTACCTCATATCTCTAATTAAATGTTAATAATACTTGATAACTTATTTCATAGGGTTACTTTGGGGATAAACGTGGTGCCGAAGGTGAAGTTCCCAGAATAATGTTTGATAACGTAATAAACTACCCACAAATGTTTGCTATTATTGAGACTAGTTGTGGTTACAAAGAATTTTGGGATGTGGAATGCTGTGTGTTAAATTGTTTCCCAAACTATGAATTGTGTACATTTAGGGATAAGGAAGCATAGATTTGGAGCAAGTGTGAGAGTTTGTTTTGTTAAAGCTTGCTTGACAGTCTAGCTAATGCAGTTATGAGCCACTTCTTTATTAGTGAGGTAAGACTGTCACCAGTTTCTCTTGAGCTTTTCATTCATCTTGACTTCACTTAGGAAGATAGGAGATAAAAGCAACTGAAAGTTTTAACGTTTCCTTTTTTCCCTTGTATAATCTGAAGTCTCTGGGCAACTTTTTAAAAGGATATATTGCTTTGAATTTTGTGTGCTGACTTCATTTACCAGATACAGGCACGTGGTGAATAAATGCCATACAAAGACAGTGATCCATTCTTTTATCACTGTCCTGTGTCCTTATGGAATGAATTGTATAAAGCAATTGATAGCAAATCCAATCCTCCATGTATATGCATATTATTCATCTTGTTTCTGCACCACAGCTACAAAATCTTATAGTTGAGACAAAGGTATATGGTCTATACCATGTGTAAAATATTTGCTATATGATCTTTCCTAGGAAGAATAGAGCATATGGTATGAAAAATGTTTTTCAATTAAAAATATTTCTCTGATAGTCACATAACCTAGATGAAATTTAAGCAATGTATGTTTTATTCTAATAACATATGGAATGTTTATATCATTCTTCCACTGGTAAAATACTGTCAAAGTCCCAAATTGACTGCCATTAGTTGATTGACCATAGCAAGATCCAAAACAGGAATGAATTGCCATGTATTTATAGAATTACATTTTTATTTTAAAAGAGAGACAAAAAAAAAACCCCAAAAACAACAACAACAAAAAAAACCCACAAACAAACAAACAAACAAACAAAAAGCCGGACGGTGGTGGCACACGCCTTTAATCCCAGCATTTGGGAGGCAGAGCCAGGCGGATCTCTGTGAGTTCGAGGCCAGCCTGGGCTACCAAGTGAGTTCCAGGAAAAGGCGCAAAGCTACACAGAGAAACCCTGTCTCGAAAACCCCCCAAAAAAAAAAAAGAGAGTGAGAAGAGCATGCTGTACTTATGTGTTGAAACTTGAATCTTTTTTTTTTTTTTTTGGTTTTTCCACCTGGCTGGAATCATTTTTTTATAGCACCATTTTCTAATAAATGTCCCTTACATTAAAATTAGGAACAAAAGTTTTTGTAATTTAGGAACTTCTTATTTTACAATGCTTTTAGTGGTGTAGTAGTTAGTCATAAAAATAAAGGGATTAGAAATTAGAAGTTTTTTATTTAGTATAATTTAAATTTTATTCCATTTTCTTGTGTATGGATGTTTTGCTGTGTGTATGTCTATGCATCACATATGTACTTGTTGTCCATGAAGCCAGAAGAGGGTATCAGATCCCCTGAAACTGAATTTAATGCAGTTGTGGGCAGATTATGTGTGCTGGGAATTGAACCTGGGTCTTTTGCAAGAGTAGCTAGTGCTCTTAACTGCTGATACTTCTCTCTAGTTCTTTAGTGTGATTTTCAAACAAAATTCGAAAGATAATTGGTCCCATATGACCATAAACTCAATGGCTTTAAACGTCTCAATGACAGGGTTTTAAATTAGTTGAAAAACTTATAAATTCAAAATCTGATTCTGGAAAAAAAAAAAAAAAGAAAAGATTCTTTGACATTTATTGAATTTGAATATGTTTTTGCAACTAGTGTCTTAAAAGTTTTTAATTTTTAGAAATATGTGATAAGCCGGGCGGTGGTGGCACACGCCTATAATCCCAGCACTCGGGAGGCAGAGCCAGGCGGATCGCTGTGAGTT